AAAAATTGGTGCAAACGTGTCTGAGTAGTCACTCCGAAAATCTGGGTGTATCCTTTGACCACAAGCCTCGCCTTGTGCTTGTTGATGGAGCCATTAACATTGAGCTTGGTTTGAAAATCCATTTCACTCCAATAATTTTTCTATCTAGAGGTGTTGGATCGGATGTGTAACAACTTCAAAAGAAGCTGAGACGGTGAACAAATTTAGAGAGAGAGAGTCAAGGAGAGAGAGAGAACTGCAAAACAGAGTACAAGGCTACAACACCCTCTGTTTCTTTAATTGTAGAAAGATATTGATTTTTGTTTTTTAAGAGAAGAAAGAAAAAAACTGATATTATTGAATTGCACGATTACATTTATAAGCACGGAGTTGTGTTTGATTACATCAAACATGACCCGATTAAATTAAACTCAGAGATTCATGTAAACACGCTGCATGGCAGCTACGCAGGCTGCGGTGAGGCACTTTCTTCATAACCTACTTTGAATTTGAATTTGAATTAAGTAAATGGATAAGATCGGTAAAATCAACACTCTCCCTTAATGATTCTATCCCCGATTCTAATTTTTCTTTGCAAGTCCTCAAACCTAGCCTTAGGCAGCGACTTTGTAAAGATGTCTGTAAGCTGCTCATAAGTTGGGCAGTGTAAAAGACTAATTTCTTGGTTTTTCGTAGCATCTCGAATGGCATGGAACTTTACTTTGATATGTTTGGTTCGTCCATGCATGACTGGATTTTTGGTGATAGCAATTGCAGACTTGTTATCTACTCGTACCACGGTTGATCTGTGTAATGCATGCCCCAAGTCATCCATTACTTGCCTAAACTAGATGGCCTGATTTGAAGCCGCAACAGCTGCAATGTATTCCGCTTCAGCTGTTGATTATGCAACTACCTCCTGTTTCTTTGAAGCCCATGAGAAGGCTCCTGAGCCAACAGAGAATACATAACCTGAAGTACTCTTTGCATCATCAATACAGCTAGCCCAATCACTATCCGTATATCCTTGCAGCTCACCTACTTTGGCATCATACCATATTCCAAAATTATAAGTCCTCCGCAGGTACCTCAACACATGCTTAGCTGCTGCCATGTGCATCTATTTGGGAGCTGCCATAAATCTTGATAGAAGGCTCACTGCATATAACATGTCTGGCCTTGAGGTAATGAGATAGAGAATACTACCAATCAAACTTCGATAGATACCCTCATCAACCTCACTTCCACTATAATCCTTTGACAGCTTTAGATTAGGCGTTAATGGAGTTCCTACAGCTTTACACTTTTCCATTTTAAATTTACTCAGGATTTCTCGAGCGTATCTGGACTGACTTAGGAAGATCCCTCCTTTTGTTTGATTGATCTCCAGTCCAAGAAAATAAGCAGCTCCTCCTAGACTTGACATCTCAAATTGATCTTCTAACTGCTTATTGAATCCATCTATCTCTGCTTTATTGCTTCTCGTGACCAATATATCATCCACATACACAGCAGTGAATATCTTTAATTCTCTTTCAATTTTGGCGTACAAAGTAGCTTCAGTTTTGATTCTCTTAAAGCCACATTGTAGGAGATGATCATTCAATTTCTCATACCAGCCTCGGGGTGCCTGCTTCAATCCATATAAAGCCTTATGCAGGATATACACGTGATCTTCTTTTCCTGCAACTAAAAATCCCTTTGGCTGCTCCACAAATATTTCTTCCTTCAGGTCACCATTTAAAAAGGCAACCTTGACATCCAAGTGCATTACTCGCCATTGAAACTGAGCTGCAAGTGCCAAAATAAGACGTATGACTTCATGTCTTGCTACTAGTGAGAACGTTTTAGCAAAATCAACACCAAGTACGTGCACAAAGCCCTTTACAACCAACCGAGCCTTATATTTGTTGATTTTACCTTCAAGATTTTTCTTTAGCCTGAATACCCACTTCACTGCGATTGGGTTCTTGTTTGCCGGTCTTGGAACCAGGGTCCAGGTTCCATTGTTCACAATTACACGCATTTCCTCTTCTATAGCTTTAACCCACTTAATTTTTTTTATAGTTGCTTCAAAGGTTACAGGTTCGTCCGCAGCAAGGCTGCAGCGTTCATAAATATCAGCGATGCTTTTCATTTTTTTTTTTGTCTTATGCTTTCCTCATCTGAACTGTCACCTTCTTCCTCTGTTACATCAATTGAGCTAGATGTTAGAGTTTGACTAGATTTGGTTATAGCTTCAATAGTTAAACAATTTGTTTCTATTTTCCTTTTCTCCCAGTTCCAGTAGCTTGTTTCATCTACTAACACATCTCTCTGGATCATGAGCTTATTGCTTTTCAAGCTCAAAACCCGATATGTTTTTGCTTCTGCACTGTATCCTAAAAACAAACCCAATTTAGCCTTCTCGTCCAGCTTTGTTCTTCTGTCATCTGAAACATGATAATAGCAAATCGACCCAAACACTTTCAGACGCTGAGTTGATGGTTTGATGCCATTCCAGGCCTCCACGGGTGTCATTCCTTCCACTGCCTTTGTGGGCAACATATTGAGCAGAAAACAGTAGTGTTTACTGCCTCAACCCAAAGCACTTTTGGTAAATGTTTGTCAGCAAGCATACTTCTTGCCATTTCTACGATGGTTTTATTCTTCCTCTCCGAGACACCATTATGTTGTGGAGAATATGGTGCTTTGAGTTGTCGTTTGATCCCATTTTTGGAGCAAAATTCCTTGAATTCACCAGAATTGAACTCAAGTCCATTGTCTGTTCTTAAGCACTTCAACACGCAGCCACATTCCTTATCTGTCATGACTTTAAATCTTTTGAATTCGTCTACTATCTGAGCTTTGTTCTGCAAAAAGCACACCCAGGTCATCATAGTAAAATCATCAATAAATAAACCAAAATACATGTTTCCATTCATTGAATTTTCACTCATTGGACCACATATGTCCGAGTGAATTAGTGCAAGCTTTTGATCTGTCCTCCAATCTGTCTGAGTAGGAAATCCCTGTCGAGCCATTTTTCCCAACTAGCAGACACCACAAACCATTTCGGTAGCTCCTATATTTGGAAGATCCTTGGTTAGGTCTCCATTCTGCAATTGAAGTAACCCAGCAGCATGATAATGGCCAAAACATCTATGCCACAGCTTCTCTTCAGGTATTGTGATAATGTTTGCCTTTTCAACTACCTCTTGGAGATTCAAGGAGTATGCCTGGTTCCTTCTTGGAATGAGAGCAATCAATTTATCTTCAGGATTATGGATTCTACAGCATTGGTTTTTGAATGAAATTGAGTATCCATTATTGGTCATTTAATTTACACTAAGCAGATTTTGAGAGAGAGTGAGAACGAAATTCACATCAATGATAAGTTTCCTACCTTCCATCATTTCTATAGCAACATTACCTTTACTTTTATGGATTCCAGCATACCGTTTCCAAGTCTTACTTGGCCTATTGCTGATTTGTCAAGTGACAAAAACATGGCTTCATTCTTACACATGTGAGAAGTGCAACCACTATCAACAACCCAGAGGCTATCGTCTTCCACTGTCAATTCACTTAAAGCAACAAGAATTGTATTAATTTGCTCACTGGATATCTCAGTGACATTTACATGCTGTAGCTCCTGCTTAGATTGTGTTGCTTCCAGCTTTTATTTTTGCCTACATAACTTCTCCTTGTGGCCAAGTCTTTTGCAGAAGTTGCATCTGATAGCTTTCTTTCCCTTGTACCAATATTCACTCTCAAGATGATTTGTGAGGGAGCAGATGTTGCAAGGAGAATACTTCTTCTGTTTTCTGAAACTTTGGTTTCTAGTTTGATTTCCTTCATTCCTTCTGCCTTGATTATGATTTGAAGGGGTAACTTTGATTTGAGACGAGAATAAGGCTCCTTCAGTAGGTACACGAACATGCATGTTGACACGTTGCTCCTGTGATTGCAGTTTATTGATTAGTTTAGCTGAAGAAATCTTATCAATATCTGCAAGTTCCTCTAAAGCTGAGATTTTATACTCAAATTTTGGTGGTAAGCTTATAAGAATTTGTTCTACCACCCTTGATTCAGGAAATTTCTCCCCCAACAATCTCATTTTATTTACAATATCCGAGAATTTGGAGGCATAGTCCCTAATAGACTCATTTTCTTACATTCTAAGTAATGCAAACTCACTTTTCAGCCTCAGTAGTTTGATCTTCTTGCTTCTGTCTCTTCCATCAAACCCTTCCTTCAGTTTCTCCCACGCTTCCTTGGGTGATTCATAGTTCATAATCCTAGAGAAAACCCTATCCGAAACAACCGAGAAGAGGCAGACAATTGCTTTTGGTTTCTTGGCCTTCTCTTCCTTGTCTCTTTTAATCTGGTTCAATGTAGCAGTTTCTTGTAGTGGGTTGGTTCACTATCGTCTATAATAACATCCCATAAACCCAGAGCTTTGAGGTAAGCTCATATCTTTATTGCCCACACATGGTAATTTTCTCCGTTGAACTACAGAGCAGGGATAGTTCCTAAGGTAGCCATCGGGTTTGAGGAATTTGTTATTCACCCGATACATAGGAAAACCTGGCTCTTATACCACTTGTTGGATCGGATGAGTAACAGCTTCAAAAGAAGCTGAGACGGTGAACAAATTTAGAGAGAGAGAGTCAATAAGAGAGAGAGAACTGCAAAACAGAGTACAAGACTGCAACACCCTCAGTTTCTTTAATTGCAGAAAGATATTGATTTTTGTTTTTTAATAGAAGAAAGAAAAAAACTGATATTATTGAATTGCACGATTACATTTATAAGTACAGAGTTATGCTTGATTACACCAAAGATGACTTGATAAAATTAAACTCAGAGATTCATATAAACACACTGTATGGCAGCTGCGCAGGCTGCGAGGCACTTTCTTAACAACCTACTTTGAATTTGAATTTGAATTAAGTAAATGGATAAGATTGGTAAAATCAACAAGAGGTCTATCAACAAGCTGTCATGTATTATTTTTCTCAACGATATACAACTCCTTTTTCATTACAATCATCCATTTTTTATACAATTTTGTTTCATCAACACTTATAGGCTCACATACAGCAATATTACAACTCTAATATTTATTAGAGAGTAAATGAGTGCCCCTGATTGGAACATTTTTTACAGCTTCATCATCTCATTCATCTATGCCATGTTTATTCTTTTCTTGGATGGGATAATGGATCTTTGTCTCAGTTGAGATTGAATGAGAGTTCTTATTTCTGGACTAATTCTATTTTTCACTTTCCATAAAGTATACATATCAGCTTATGGTTGTCTTTTTTTGTTTAAGGATGAAAGATCTTATAAGCTTTTGAAACAGTGTTATAACCAATAAAAATTTCAGTATTGATCTTTTATCCAGCTTGTCGCGCTTCACTTGAGGAACATAAGTGAAATAAAGACTCCTAAATATTTTTAGAAAGCTCATTATGAGTTTATAACTAAACCACTCTTCAAATTGTATCATATCTTTTACTGTTGTGGTTGAAAGCCTATTTTGGAGAAAAACTGTTGTATTTGTAGCTTCTGCCCAAAAAAACTTTAGTAAGTCTTTGTCATACAGCATGCATCTTTCCATTTTCATGATGAATAAATTCCTTCTTTCACTAACACCATTTTGCTGTTGAGTGTATCGTGTTGTTAATTGATGTTCTATTCCTGCTTTATTGTAAAAAATATTAAATTTATATGACATGTACTCAGTGCCATTATCTGACCTCAAACTTTGGATTGTACAACTACTTTCATTTTCTACTCTTACTTTAAACTTTTAGAATACGCTAATAACTTCAAGTTTGAATTTCAGAAAGAAAATCCAACATATTCTTATTAGATTATCAATAAATAAAATGTAATATAAGATATCGTTGAGAGAGTGCGTCCTCATTAGACTTGCAAGATCAGTGTGCATCAGCAGCAATTTTTTTGTTGCTCTCCAATTTGATTTTGGAAATGAATGTCTATGATGCTTTCTAATTTGACACGCTTTGCAGTGGGGTAAATCACTGTTGAGAGCAGATAAATCCCTTGCCATTTGCTTTAAATTTAGCCTGAGCATTCCTTGATGATGGTAATGACCAAGCCTTTTGTGTCAAATTTAAGTCACACTTTCCTTTACTGCATAAGTTGATTCTTCTTTCTTCATAAGATCCAATATAAAGCATTTTTTTTTATCATTTTGATCTTGAAGATGTCCTGATT